AACAGAGGGGAGGCTTAGAACCTCACCCTCCCTGTTTTGAGAGAAATCTTCTGCATCCATGGATGTTTTGTTGCCCTTGTCTAGCTTGGATTAATACTTAGTCTATAGGCACACACCTGATCATCTACATTTGCCCTCTTACAGCACTAAATTATGTTTTCTTCCTTTATCTTGCACCTACCTACCACTTCAACATTTTATTAAAAAAATAATAATAATAAGGGAGAAATGTGGGATTCACATATAAATCAAGTATAAAAATCAAACAAATAATCATATCTGGCTTGATTGTTTATAGTTCATGATGCGTGATCAAAACCGAAAGTTTCTGTGATATGACTGCCCTTGCACTGTTCACCACATAAGAACTTATTCACTATGAAGAACTTGTTCACCATGTAAGAACTTGTTCGTTATGCTTCAGAAGATTGGAGACTGTTGAGAAATAGGCTTGGGGTTGATTAATGACTGTGCATTGAGTCCCCTATACAGAATTTTATTGTTATTAACAACCATTTGATCAATAAATATGAGAGATGCCCTCTCAAAAAAAGAAACACAGCCCCAATCTCCCAATCTAAACATAGGCAAACAATATGAATAGATACCTCACCAAAGGAGAAATGCAGATAGGAAATAAACATATGAAAATAAAATAAAATAAAAATGAAAAAGATAAAAATTACAATAAATGTTAATAGATACACTCATCTGTAAAAAGGCACATGCAGTCATATTATACTCAAAAAATAAAAATCTAGTTATATGTTGCTTATAAAAGGAACAGCAAAAATATATAAACAAAACCGCACAAGAAAGTCACATAGATACACTGAAAAAGATAGAAATACCTACAAAGTTATAGCTCCAGCAACAAAACTTAGAGATATAAAATATTTAGAAAAGAACATTAGCAGCTTTGAAGTTTTCACAGCATGTTTACAAAATTTGTGTAGTAAGTCACAAATAAATGCTAACAAAATTCAAGAAACATATGAAGATCATGTCTTCTGAAGAAGGAATACATTTAGAACTTGAAAAAAAATTTGCAAAAAAAGTTCTCATATGTTAGGAAAGTTACAAATACGCTCTATAATATCTCATTGGGTAGAAAGACATGATTTAGAATTGAAAAACAGGGAGGTATAGGTAGAATTTTCACCTACTGAAAAACCACATGTTAAGACGTTTCTGAAGCTGACTAGTTTGTGGGCTCTACTTCCTGTCTTCGGGTGTAAGATGTAGCTTCAACTCACCAAGGTTCTCAAGATTGTTTTCATTCTCTCATATAAACCAGTTTAGGTTTCAAATTCGTATATATCAAGTGAAACAAACTCCCTGTAATTTGTTCTCTATGATATGCAGTCTGTTTCTTGTCTGAGGAAACAGTTTGAGCTGTTATGTAGATTTTATAATAATTTGCCTTAGGAGAAGCCCTATCAGGGGAGGCTTGACTCAGTGACTAAACTCCCCTCCCGGCCAGAGAAGGTCTGAGACAAGTCCTCTCTCCGTGTTGGTGTTGGGTGCTTACCCTATTTGGGGTATTGTCCTTCTGTTTAGAACTCTCACTTTCTATCCAGCCTAGGCAAAGAATCTAGTGGAGACCAAGGACTGATCTTGGGAAAAACTGAGATGAAGCCTACAGTTTGATTTGGGGCTTTTCTTGAACCAGCCCTAAGGTTGGACGGTGAAGCTGGAGAAGCATCAGCCCCACTGACAGCTCATAGGGATGGGTGGACGGGATTCACTGGTTCCCTGTCAGGAGACATGGGTTGAGTTGTGCCCCCCCTTCACAGATCCTACAGCTGTCCCCTCATGACTTTCCTCTCCCTCATTCTTCTTAAAGCTGCTCTTTTTATATGAACGAATGTGACTTCACCTAGTTCATCTGGGGCCAGAACCCTCTAGGAATGCCTCTGTCTACAACACCCTTTCCTTGCTATTCTCCTGGTTCTTAGCTTGTCTTCAGTGCTCCCTGGATTCTCCTAGACTCTGTATTTTCTCAAATTTTTCCCACTCTCTTCTTTGCCTTTAGTCCTGGATCTCAGGTGTTTTAGCTATCCAGGTAATACACATATTGGGCTAAAATATTTTGTTAATAGGTACTAATCAATTTAATGATCTCAGATAAGTGCATATAAAAAAGATACCAGAAAACTACTGGAGGGATTGGTGGGAATTTTAATCCAAGATGCAGGTCATTGTGAGAGATATTTTATGAAGTAGAGTTCAACCAGGACCTTGTTGTGATAATGTGTCTAAATTTTAGTCACACATCATTTATTATAGCATGTTTATTCTAACCTAAATTTAGGGAAATTATCTCCTCTGTTGTAACCTTTTATTCACAAGGATGATTAATTTCTTCAGGGGTAAAATATTCTATTCATAAAATAAAAAGTCAGTATGGGATTTCCAAGGAAACATAATTAAGTACTTTAACTTCATCATTGTTGATGAAATAACTAGTCCTACTAATCCTAGAAAGTTAGCATTTTTTATTAGACATGAAGTATTTGTTTATATCTATAATCATTATATAACATTATATTTGAGGTAATATTTTTTAATTTTCAGAGTACTTTCACTTACAATCTTGTTAAATATTTATGATATAATCATAATATATAACGTATTATATTTAAGGTAATATTTTTTAATTTTCAGAGTACTTTCACTTACAATCTTGTTAAATATTTATGATATAATCATAATATTATATAACATATTATATTTAAGGTAATATTTTTTATTTTTCAGAGTACTTTCACTTACAATCTTGTTAAATATTTACGAGATCTATAGGATGGGAATTATTATTTTACAAATGAGGAAGTGAGTTCCAAGTGGTAAACAGACTTTTCTCTGGGTAACACAGATACTGATTTTAATAACCATGAGTTGATTTCAGGTCTCTGGATTTGAAAATTCCACCCTACTTTCCCTATATCATATTCCTTTTTCGAATGTGTAGTGAACCATATACAGTAGCTATTAGATCAATGGTCAGATATATAAAATACTAGCCAGATGCATGTAGATTAACATAATAGTTGAAATAAGATTGTAACCAACTTTTAGAACTGCTTTACAATTATGTAAGATTTTTTCAAATTCTCTACTAACATAAAAGACTTGGTCATTTAACCCTGAGTAAATTCAGCTCAGACACAGTGGAGAAAATATGAAATTTCTTAACCTAAAATGTCTCTCTCTACACACACCACGCCCACAGGGACATTTGAAAGCATTCATTTTTTGTTTAATATTTTTGGCTGTAGTCTGATTTCAGATGCATTGTTCAAAATTTATTGTGAAAAATGTGTATTTTAGATATATTGTCTATGTCCGTTCTGAGTATTTGAAGAGCTAGTATAAAATAGAAACTGATCATTAATTTATCCTCCATAAAGCATGTGAAAAATATTCAGAGATATTTAAAGACAGAATAAATAATTTAAATCTAGCTGTAAACAAGAATTTCCTGGTGAGGAGGATTGATGGTAGCTTACATCTCACCAAAAGAGGTCATAGAATTTCTTTTTCTGGGATTTTTAACTCATGTGGTTTAGGTGTTAACTCCCTGTGGTAGCAAGACCAGGAATTTAATAGTCAGATGTGAACCTATCATATTGTGAGAGGACAATGACTGTCTTCCAGGTTTATTTAAATAATTGGTGTTATTTAGAACTTGCAGGATAAGCAGGATGTATTTTTTTTCTCTCGACAAAAATAAAAGGGGAAATACTTTATTATTTTTAAGAACTTCAGCAAACAGTCCTGTCATAACTGAAGTCCTAGCGAGAAAGCTGCCTGTGGGTGGAAACAGGAAACATTAGTGAGAAAATGCCGTGTTACGCATTTTTTTTCAGGTTCGGCTCAATGTATATTGATTCTAATTAGCACATTTTGTGCCTCAGCTAGTAGCTCCCCTTTAAGCTCTGCTTGGAGAGTTTTTTTTAGCTTCCATCCTGCTCATAAACACTGCCACCTCGTCCCTCCTTCTCTCTTTACAAATGTTACAACACAATCAGAAATTTCCTCTTTTCTTTCCTTCCTGCATTTTCAGCAGGTTCCCTTGCGTCAGAAGCCGAGAAAGAAAACTCAAGGTAATTAGATCTCTGTTGTTTCTTTATCCCCTATTTGTGTGCTGTGAGTGTGGTTTTTCTCTCGAATGCCTTCTTCAGGATCAGATTTTTGTCTGTTTCAATACTAACATCGGGAGGTGGATGGCAGATTAATTTTGGTTATTTTTGGATCGATTTTAAGAAATGACGGCATGCTGTTCATTTGGCTCAATCCCTCGTGGTATGTCAAAAGAGTTGAGAAAAGCTGGCGCTGAGTCGGAAGTAGCCGTGTTTTTAGGTGGACATTAACCCGTGTCCATCTATTGCATAACTAACTGCTATTATTGTTGAAAGTAGCTGCATTCCTGTGCTGATTGCCTGGCAGCCTCATGATTTTAATTTTTGCAACTTATTCTTGTTGATTATATTCTTAGACTAACACTTGCATATTAGTCTCACTGTCTCTTTGGTCACATTTTGTGCCTTCCAAGCACCAAATGAATGTTTAAAAATAAAATAGATAAACTACTATTTTTTTTTGCACTTATTTTGCAGAAATCTTGATAAAAAATCCAACTCCCAGGATGCAAACAAATCAGTTACCTTTCACCCCATCACATAGATCAGGGGAACACGTTACCTACCTTTCTCTATAATTGTGCAGGCTTTTTCACGATGAGTCGGAGGAGGATATCCTGTAAGGACCTGGGACATGCTGACTGCCAAGGATGGCTCTATAAGAAGAAGGAAAAAGGAACTTTCCTAAGCAACAAATGGAAAAAGTTCTGGGTGGTGCTGAAGGGATCGTCGCTGTACTGGTACAGCAGTCAGATGGTGAGTCCGCTGTCTTCTTCTTGTCCCCAGCATCTTTAACAAAGGGTGGCTTAAAGATCATTGCGGAGCAGTTGATCTTGATGGGAAAGTTAATTTTTTATTTCTGGGCATTAAACAGAGGAAATAAACAAGATCTAGAAACCGTTTCTGGTCCAGTAGATATGCAGGGTATGCTACTGTATTTTACGGAGGAGAAACCATTCTGCTTGACTAATCTTTGGTTGGAGAGGGGCGTCCAAATTCAAATTCACACCCTTACCAAAGGAGGCTTTCAGGGTCTATTAACGTTACTATTCCATGCGGGAGTCTCATCATCATTTCAGGATTGACGTGGATAGCATTTGACATGGGGATGTACGTTGTTAAGGTCTCTTCTGTAAAAGGGACCTCGGCTTGAAGACCTATTAGGTGTGCAAATTGATTCAGCCCATGGAAGCTATTTCTGGTTCTCCTTCTTTACTATCTTTTCCTCTGACCTTCCTTTTAGGTGTGTTGATTTTGGAATCACTAATCTGTGTACCTGTGTCATGTCTCCTGTTCCTTGGTACGTTCAGTGGTGGCATTAAACCACTGATGCTTGGAGAATGCTCAGTAAGAAAGTTGATTGATTTATCCTCTAATAGGAAGTATTTTATTTATCTTTTAATGGGAAGTACATTTTGTGGTCTGCTTCACAGGCTAGTGTTCTCTTGGGGAGGGCTGGAAATCAAGTTATTGCTAGAAGGTCTGCTGATCTTTCCTGGCTTGAAACAGTTTGAAAACAAGGATGTTGTTGGATACTGAATGAGTAGGGACTTTTGGTATAAGAGTTCGTTTCACTGACCCCTGAGTAGCCAAATGCTGATCTCAGGAGAGCTTGAGTTTCTCTTTGGAATACAGTGAAGAGCAGCAATGGGGGTCGTTTAATCAGTTAAAGGGAAATTGCTTAGGAAGTGCCCAGAAGGCAGAAAATTATTTTTGGGTGAAAATTTTAGGTGATAAACTTATATTCACTGGCCATTAATCAAAAATTTGTGTTACCCACATGCCCCTAGGCACCTGCCCTCTAAAGATTTGGTTAAACTGGACCCGAGTCCCCCTGGAGCCATGCCTGGTGCTCTGGAGTAAGCCTTCTCCCCTGTGCTCCCCCTCTTCCCAAAGCTTATTGCTTTGGTTTCACCCCATGCAGAACATGGCAAAAAATTCATTGAGTTCCCTAAAAATATATTTCCTCAAGTCTGTGGTGCATTTCATAACTTTATCACAGATTTGCAAGGTTCACAAGAATCCCCTTGCAGAGCATGCAGGCTTCACTGTCTCCTTTTTCTCTTTTCTTCTCTTGTGGATGCATTCATCTTCTTGTTAGTATGGAAGAGTTTTGCCCAAATTAAGGCAACCTGGGCCAGGGGTCTCCCTTTCCATCCTAAGGGATTTTTCCTAAACAAATACAACTTCCTTCTTAAGAGAAATTAAGGTAAATGTGAATTTCTCCTTCTTGTTTCATATTATTTTAGGCCCTTGTTTTGGATAGTTGTGGCAAGTGACAGTCTGCATCTTTTATAAAATGAGAGGACTTTTAATAGCTGTCCTGGAATTCCCAGAGGCTGCTGGCAGGATTGGGTGCTGACGGAGCATGGCATGTCTGTGGGGAGTGACAAAGCTCAGATATAAGAATGGCATGCATTTTCTCATTTAATCAGATTATTCAGCAAATATGTTCTGGGTGCTGTTTCTGTCTTTATAGGATGTAAGGGAGGACCCTCTGAACCACTTATCTACAGATTTGGCTTATTGGCTTCATCAGCTCATTTGGCTTAAGTTTCTCTTAGAGGAGCAACAAATTACCTATTTTTGGCATTAGGAATCTCATGCTTCCACAGGGAGCAGTGGTGTTGACTGAGACTAGATTGGAAAGAGGAAAAGGAGAGCATCAGACACACTCAAGCACCCCTGTCTTCACTTGGTTTCATGCAAACATATAAAGCAATATTCAGGGAGCAAATCACGTACTTGAATAGGGGTAGATTAACATCAGTGAATGGCGAGTAAGTTTACTGGTATCTGGCCGCTTTGGAATTATCCTATTAAACTACTGGTGTAGAACAAAAGGACCCTTTCAACTCCCTTATTCTATGACTATGTGTTATAGAGGAATTCTCTCCCTCTCTCCACACACAAAGGCACACACACATACCCTGACATCTTAATTATACGTTTGTTATGGGGAAAAGAGGCTACTGAGTGAATAGTTAATTAACAGTCATATTCCTGCTATCTGCATGAATGTCAACTGTGAAATAAGAGCCAAACACATCCCCTCAAGCTAAGAACATTTATTTGCTTTCTGCCACTCAAGGAATTCAGATTCAACAAAGTGGCTCCCAAGGTACCTAAGCCTAATGAGCAAAAATCTTCTTATTCTACCTTCCCAATTCCCTATTTTTCTTATATGGCCTGATGCTGAAGGTAATGGAATCAGCTGCATCAGAGCAAGAGCCACCTCTTACTGGACGCCTACTATATGCCACGGACTATTCCAGGTACTTTTCATCATGCCCATATTTACTCCTCAAAACACCCTCGAGGTGGGAATTGTCACTATGTTTTGAAAGTTGCAAAGGCTCTGAGAGTGTGTCCTCTGCCCCAAGTGGTACAAGTGGTAAGTAGGGGAAAACAGATCACCTTGTGACCCTTTGACTTCTCAGCCCAAGATTGTTGCCATATGCCAGCCTGACCCCATTTGGGGACCAGGATAAATGCCAAGATTAGATCATCCTCCTTTCTGCCTTCAATAGGCTTCTGAGAGAGCAACTCTAGAAATGAAATGTAGGGCATTTTTCATGTGAAAGTACCTGTGATCTAATGGGGTCCCCTTGCTTGCCTCTGTTGCTCCCTGACATTACTTGAGGGGACCACATCACCTCCCTCAACCGCATTTGTTACATTGCTGTTACCCAGTAATCGACGCATGGTTTAACTTCTTTCATGACACTTTGCTGTCTCAAACAGCACTACCCAGAATTCCTTGAGAAACATCAAGTCCAGAAACTCATCTGTCATACTTCACACCCTACATTATGTGCTCAGAATGTGATACAGCATACTTTGCCAAGTCTTACAAAACCATATTCAAGCTGAACAGCCATAAAAAGCCAGGCTATTTAAAATCCTGTATTTAAAATCTACAAAATTGTTTTCTTTGCCCCTAGGATAATGTACAAATTCATTTCCTGGCTGGAGAGAGTCTCCAGACTTGGATTTCTCTTACCTCCTCACCTTCCCACCTCCACCCAAACTTCAGCAGCAGGACTTTTTCAAATTCCTTGTTAACTTCATATATGCTGGCTTTCTTTTTAAGATTTTGCATATGCTGTTTCTCTGTTCAGAAAACTCTTTGTCTCCATGCCTAAAGCCTTTCTCCCACCCAATCACATGGACCTTAATCTTCTTCATAAGTCAAATTTTAGTTTAGCACTTCTTCTGGGTGGTCTCACCTTATTCTCTGACCTCAATTAGGCTGCCTCTGTCTGCCTCCATAGCAGCCTGTATCTTCCTTATTATTGTTCTCCTCTTCCTCTTCTGTACATGTTTGTTAGACTTACAGTTTCCCATAGTTGATAATAATCTCTGTAGGGTAGGACCACAGGTCTGTTATTAACCCCTTGCACAGTGTCTGACACTTACAGCCACTCAGTTAATATTAGTTGATCTCATATGAGATTTAGGAATCATCAGCATTTATATGACCCACAGAAATTTTGAAAAATGGGATGGTGAATAAGGATTGCTTTTGATGGAAAATAATTCTCCAGTAAAGAGATTTCCACTTCTATTTTTAAAAATAGATACAGGAAAAGGTGAATTTGAGATTTGCCTAAAGGGCTCCATAGTCCCAAAAAGGTCTCACACTGGTGCTCCCATATTTCTAACATCTTATTAGGAATGTATTTTATTAGATTCTTTCTAAGCATGGCCTCTGGATGAAAAAAGTTATCTATTGATCAAGATCACCAAGCTGGGGCAGGATGTTGAAAGGAGATGGAAGGTTTCCCGGGAAAATTCCCTCCCGTGGGGGACTTTTCCTGGATACCAGCACAGCTGGAGACTCAGCGTTAGAGACTGAGCATCTCTCTGGTGACTGAGAAGCAAAGTTCCAAGGTATTGTTTTCCTTCAGGCATGTTACAATGAAGTAGGGACAAGATAAGTCCTTAAGTTGTTACTATTTATCTTACTTTTTTTTTTCCTTTGGCTTTGATTTAAAAAAATTTTTTTATTTTGGTATCATTAATCTACAATTACATGAGGAACATTATGTTTACTAGATTCCCCCCATCACCAAGTCCCCCCTACAATCCCCATTACAGTCACTGTCCGTCAGTGTAGTAAGATGCTGTAGAATCACTACTTGTCTTCTCTGTGTTGCACAGCCCTCCCCATGCTGCCTCCCCACACATTGTAGATGCCATTCATAAGGCTCCCTTTCACCCCCCCAACCCCACCATCCCTCCCTTCCCACACATCCTCCCCAGTCCCTTTCCCTTTGGTAACTGTTAGTCCATTCTTGGGTTCTGTGATTCTGCTGCTGTTTTGTTCCTTCAGTTTTTCTTTGTTCTTATACTCCACATATGAGTGAAATCATTTGGTACTTGTCTTTCTCCGCCTGGCTTATTTCACTGAGCATAATACTCTCTAGCTCCATCCATGTTGTTGCAAATGGTAGGATTTGTTTTCTTCTTATGGCTGAGTAGTATTCCATTGTGTATATGTACCACATCTTCTTTATCCATTCATCTACTGATGGACACTTAGGTTGCTTCCATTTCTTGGCTATTGTAAATAGTGCTGCGATAAACATAGGGACGTATCTGTCTTTTTCAAACTGGGCTCCTGTATTCTGAGGGTAAATTCCTAGAAAAAACTATCTTACGTTTTTAATGTTTTAGATTTCCCCCTTTTTCTGGAACTTCTTCCTTTCTTTTCTGAGAATTCTTAATTAAAGCTTTGCTTAATTCCTTGGGAA